TATTACATTTTTTTTGTTTATACATTTTTAAGCTGATATTTTATATCTGGTGTTGATACTTATATCAATAGATAGATTGATATACTTATATATCTTTGCTCTACAGATAACCATTAAATACAGCATACATCCATGACAAATGATTTCTAGAGCACCATGGATTCTCAGACAAAGCTGACTAAAAACAGCCATGGTAGGGGAAAGTCATTGTTCTGACTCAATAACTTGTGTGTGTAAATGTAAGATTAAGCTACTAATGGGAAAGTCAACACAAATCTTTGCAGGGGGTAGCATATACCATAAGTGTAGAGCATTTTTTTTCCGTTTTGTTTTAGTTTGTTTGAGTCACGCAGACTCATGGCAGGAGAGGGGGAGTTTAATGCACACATTGTGGTAGAATGAAGAGACATCAATGTCTGTGGTTCAGACTGATTTGTGTGGGACAGCTTCTGTACAGAAAAGTTCCATCCTGTAAATTCAAGTAATGTAAAATTGTATTTCTGACTTATCATGGTTACATCAGGTGTCAAAAATGTAGAAAGACCTGTTAGGCCGTGTTTCTAAGAATGTATAATACACATGCTTTCTGAAAGGCTGCATTCTGAATGACTTCTTCAGGTGAAAAAATAATCCAGAAATCAGCTGTCCTTTTTCTTACAGTCTCTACAGATAAAGGCAATGTGTAAATGTGTAATGTGTAAAATGCAGGAACAGCCACTTTATTAAATCATCTTATTCCAACACAATAGGTGGTGGAGCTCAGTTCAGCAATGGCATCACACTAATATTTATGCCAGCTTTGCTTGGTGGGGAGATAATACATTTATCTGGAATAACTGAAATTACTTTAGTCTTTTTTTTATTTTTTTACTTGTAGCAGGGAGAGGGGCCGCGTTGAATGCACACATTGTGGTAGAATGAAGAGAAAGATATGTGGCATGCAAAAAGTGGCACACCAATAATTAAGGTTATGTGGCATGCCTTAGAAGCCATGCTGAATGTTATGTAGCATGCTGCACCAAAACATTGTTATGCCTGGTAAGCTATTAGCTATTCTGGGACACTCATGGCAGACAGTGAATATTGGACAATGTACATTATGCCAGTCCCATCGTGAATGATAATTCTGTTCAGAAAGGTCACAACTTAAGATCAGGACAAGGAATGCTGTGAAGTTGAATGGAATTCTGGTCATTTTTTCTAGCTGTGAAACATTTAGCCACACACTGAACTAAGATCCAAACTGAATTGGATATGTCTGCAGTGTGCATACGTCTAAGGCTGCATTCACACGGGGCTTGTATGTACGCTCTGAGATTCCTGGGGCAAGAACCTTTGGATTCTTGTGCTAGGAATTCCAGATGTGCCCATTCAGATGCAGCCGCTGTGCCCATTCGAGTTAATAACATGGTGACAGCAGCTGCATCTGTCAAAAGCAGTCAGCATCTGATCATACAAGGTAGGATTACATGTGGTTAGGGATAGATCATTGTCCTTGGATACATCTATGCTGCATTGTAGATTGACATGCAGTTCGGGATAGATGATTTTCCTTGAACACATCTATCCTGTGTCTGGGGAAAATTGCCTATCCTGAACCGCATGTAATCGAACATGATCAGACAGGACATGGCTGGATATGGTCACCCTGTCATTAACTTGAATATGTATGGCCACACCTGGGATTCCTGATGCAAGAATCTGTAGGCTCTTGCTGCAGGAATCCCAGAATGCACATACAAGCCCTGTGTAAATGCAGCCTTATTGTGATGGCAGTGCAGCAGCTGCTCTGTACATCTAATAAGGAGGTGTTCGGAAGCTGGCATTTATAATGGAGGCTCCACATTATTTGAATGCACTCCACTTTGAAATAAGTTAGCCGAGATCACTGATGGTTTCTTTACAATGTGAATTAAACTTGCTGAAAGCTGTCATTTAGTGACAGTAGTAATATTACCACCAAATGAATAATTTCCAGCTGCTGCAGCAAGACGTTCAGTCAGATGGGTGAACTTACAAAACTTGTCCATTTAGCTTGCCTGTTCACTGAACTGCATACAAGGTTAGCCCTAATGCTTAGCAGTAGTGCCCGAGAGATCATCAAATTTGGCCTTCAGTGCAGCAGATCTTTGCCCTATTTCCTGAATTTTCTTTAGAACCCAATCATTGATTTGTGTGGAGGTGGATTGGAAGGCTCTCTGTAGTATGAGTTTTTCAGTAGGGGTTAGTGATAGCCTCGATGGCTGGTGTCACTGTCTGAGCAATCCTCATCCTGGTTCCTGCTAGAGTCAGGCAAGGCTTCATGAGTTTTGGAAGTAGGTGCTATCTTAGCCGAAGCTCTAGCGAATGCCCTGGCAATGGACTTCGGCTTAGGATTCTGCTTCTCTCGCATGCAAAAGTGAGCCATACAGGGTAATGATGGGTTCACATGAAAAAGCTAGAATATCTGTATTGGTTCAGTGCAACAAGGTGCACAAAACTCTGCTATAGACTTAGATATCCTCAGGGGAAATGCAGAGCTAGCTCAGAACACTCCGCCATCAGCAGCTGCATACATGCACTCTCCAACCCCCACTGTGTCTTTGTATAAAATATATTCGGTGCTACTGTTGCAGCATGGCCCAGAGCCCCATATCTGTGTGCCCCCAACTGTTCGATTCAAAAAGAAGTATAGTGCACAATTCTGGCCTACCTCCCTACCACACTCTCTATTCACAAAAATCAGCACAACGCTTACACAGATAACTGTACTCAGCCCTATATCAAGAATAGCAGAGTTCACAGCTCAGCCTTCCCTCTCTTTCTCTCTGTTTACACACATTAGAAGCTACGTCCTCCCTTTTGCTATCCATGCATCACAATTAGGTGCTTGGGTTTTATACAAGCACAACCCTCCCTACTTTTCTTATCCAGTGTTAGCCATACAGCATTTCGCCTGATTTACAAAAATTGGCTGAAACAGTACAGTATACTGTGTGGCCTTGATGGTTCAACAAAAGTCAGTTACACAATTTACTGTTGTCGAAGGAGCTGGACCGAAAATCTACAATAGCTGCAGGGGGAGCTTCGTCCATCCACGCTGTTTAGCACATACTGAACTAAAAAAATGTATTACTGTATGGCCAGTTTAACTCTTTATTCCAAGAAATGAAAGTGTATGAGCAGCATGGGTAGGATCCTTCCCATCCCTATCAGCAAATCAGGAAGCAGCAGTTGATTGGCCAGATGCCATATCTACCTAGATTGATTACTTTTGATTGGCTGAACTGCTCAGTCTGAGCAGTTATTAACTTATAAATCGGGAAAAAGCAGTGAGAAAAGGCAGCCTTTGCACTCTCTTAACAGGCTAAGCTGCCCCTATGGTGCTGCCAGACCTAAATTTATTGGAGGTGTTTGGGTGCTAAGGGAATTTTTGCAGGTGCTCAAGTACTAGCAAACCCACTCAAGCAATGTACCTTCAGGGCAGGTTAACACCATTTTCCGGACCAGGTATGGTCCGGAAAATGGCGTGAACCTGCCCACAGTTCCAGTGCATTCCAGACCAGACAAAATGAGACATGCAGTGTTTTTTCTGGTCTGGTCTGGTCTGGAATGGACTGCAAAGGGATGCATTAGGATGCATTTTGGGTCCATAAACAATCTGGCCTGGTCTGGAGATGATCTGGATGTGGTATGAATGGGCCCTCAATCCAAACAGATGTGAATTTAGATCTCACTACAGTTCATAGATAGGGTAACAGAGTCACTGCTCTGCAGTTTTTAGAATCTTAATTCTATCCATAACACAGCGGCTAAAAAATGAACAGTCTGAAAATATTGTTATTGATTAACTTGGAATCTATTTAATATCTGACTCTTAAAATCTATTTAAAGAATAGTTTGCATATTAGTTTTTAAACTGAGTAATGTTTATATTAACACCTGTGTCTATATTAAATACATTTATAGATCTATCCTTTCAAAGCCCTCAGCATGTGTACTTTTAATAATATTTCAATGCTACATTGGTGTCAGGCTGGTTGGCTTTGCGTGGTGATGTGACATCATAGTGTGAACCTGTATGAGGAGGGAACTCTGTCATTGTGCATAAATTATTCCCTTGCACCTGTAGATTGCCTAATTGAAATTCAACAAAATTTCTAAATCATTATCAAGGCACAGCAGTGCAGCCTAATTAATACAATGACTTTACATTGTGTTAACAGAAGGCTACCCTGCTATTATATCACCTGAAAGCTGTTGAACTGTAAAAGGGAATAGCAATTATTTGTTCAGAATAGTTGCACTATCAGTCTGCTATATTTTCTGTTTGTTAAAAGAAAAGAAAATCTATTTCAAAATGAAAGCTGAATGCCAGGCAGATGTACAATACATACATTATTGTAGCACTGATGTATAATCATTTATACATCATCAAGTGTGTTTTTTTTTTGTAAATGCAAGCAGTGTAGGTACCTGAATTTGACCTTTAGTGGCCTCTCTTTAGCAAAGTTGTAGTGTGAGAGGAAGAAGCAACACAAGGAGCCAATCAGTTCATCTGCTGCTAAGAAGCGTGTTGATAGGAGAAAGTGGAGGAACAGAGAGCTGAGCATATCACCTTGTAGCTTCTTCTTTCACTGTCTAGTCAGAGGCTGGGGCAGGTCCAGGGTGATTTGGGCTCAGAGGAAGTGGGTTGTATGATGCTGGCCATCAAACTGAGAACACCAAATTTGCGATCGACTGTTAGATCGTGATCGACTGGTAGATCGTGATCAACCTAATGGGCACCCCTGATTTAGAGCAATAGCTAACCTTGTGCATTTGGTAATGGGTGCTAAAACACATAGTTGAATGGGTACCAGCATTAAAATTAAACCTGTTTAAATATAATTCAACTCAATATAATTTAATATATACATTTTCTGAAACATAACTTTCTGTATTATCTAAAGATTCCTAGGCCATTGTTGTATTTTAGTTTTAAGCTATGCGTTATATTAACAATTTTTTGTGTCTCTCAGTTTTAGGCTGTGCTAACTGCAAGGTATTGTTGACTGCTCCCTCTGGGTCTTTCACCTCACCATGCTACCCTGAGATTTACGCAAACAGCCAGGATTGCAAATGGAGAATAATTGCCCCTGTTGGATTTATCATCCAGCTTACATTTGTGGACTTTGATGTTGAAGAAGCTCAGAACTGCATGTATGACTCACTTTCATTAAACAATGGAGAGACCACCTCAAAATTTTGTGGAATCACAGCAAAAGGTTTAAAATTTAACTCAACTGCAAATGAGATGGTGATAACTTTTGTAAGTGACTTCAGTATTCAGAAAAAAGGCTTCAGTGCAACATATACCCAGGGTAAGTACAAATTTGCTTATATTAGAATAGTAATTAAGGCGCTAACTGGCCAGAAAATTTTACTATTTTAGATTTGAGATAAAGTGCGGTACAGAATTAGGTGAAGTAGAGAAATGAACCTTCTGCTTGGACTCATAGTTGAGTTGCTTGAGGAACACAAAGTGGTTTGGTTTTTGGTGGAATGGTTTTGTTGATATGCATGGAATGTTTCTTCCATATCTGCCTTCCTGGGTAATGTTGCCTTTAATATTTATTCTTTGATCATAGATTAATTATCTTTAAGGATCTAACAGCTTATTGTAATGATTGCAAGCTTAATATAATGCAGTTTATTATAATGATTGCAAGAACTGCTACTGATTGTCACCATGTAAACAAAAACGTATCTAAAACTGAAACAAAAAATGCTATATATTGCAGCTTACCAGTCTTTAGATGTGGTGGCTGTATTAGTTTTTTCCAAGAGTTTTTTTCCTGAATGTTCACCTGGCAATTCTGCCGGAAACAACACTTCTTGTTCTAGTATGACAACGCTCACCCTGCCCTTTAAGGTAATACTACAAAATAATATTCAGTGTAAGGGAATCTAATGTCTTTGCTTTGTTAAAATGACCTCCTGTCACCTCTTTCAAATGTCATTTAGTATACTACTCTCAGCAATTTCAGATCCAATACTTGTTCAGCTTCTTCTTCTGTGTTACCATGACAGATACAGTAAATGGGAATCTTTGATGCCCAGTAAGAGGGGGCTGTGGGAAAATGTGAGCTGGAAATGCTGTAAAGCATCATTATGTCACCAGGAAACCAAGTACTGTGACTGTTCATTCAGACAGCTTTTGTTATTGTGAGTAAAAGAGATTTGTTTAAGATAAGCACAGATATGTGGAAAAAGCAAAAAGGTGTATCCATTTCCTTCCATTTCAATTCATTAGTTTGCAATTTGTGTGACTAAGACCATTAATATATGGCTCTGGGAATGTCACTGTTTTTGTCTGTCACACATTGCATATTGTGCTGAATCCTGCTCTGATCAGTTAAACTGAAGCAACTGAGAAAGTTTTCATTGTGAAATAATTTAGGTTGCCAATGAACAGATGATTGTCACCCAGCAGCTTATAGGCCTACTCGAAACCTATTGCAAACTATGAAGACAAGCCCAGAGTGACTGAGAAGAATCCATCTTTACAAAAAGATTGCCCTGGATATTTCTATTATTTCTCTAGAAAGTCAGCACCAGGGTTTTCTGCTCAGAGCATAAGCATAATTGTAGAGTAGTAGTCTTCTGACAGCCATGTCTATGGCTAGATTTAAAGTGAACCTGTGCCCAGATCATTTAAAAGTATGTAATGTATGTGAAAGTAAGGCATTTACATATTCTGAACAAATCAGTAAAAATACTCTAAAACAAGCTCTAATTCACCTCTGTAACTATAAGATTTTTGGAAAAAAATAAATTTTCAAGGTTCATAACATATGAACGAAAACATTAGCTTTTTTTTTTAATGAGAGCAGATCTTGGCAGCCTGTCAATCCTCTAATGTAAACAACTAGCAGATGGTTCATGAGCTGTTAGGAACCAATCGTGCGTGATGGCCTGCTTTAAAGCCCTGTTACTGCTTCTTAATAACCCCCAAGCCCCTTAAATTACTGTTTTGACTATCTAAATGTAGGAGCTTACCCATATACAATATATGTATACTGTATATATATACGCACATATATATATATATATATATATATGTGTATATATATATACTGTATATGAAATGTGACAGCCTGCTCAGGCACCAAGCATGGAAATGTGGAAAGGTGAGGAGATTACCAGCTGTGCCCTATACCTGTATACTGTGCATTTCTTGTGATGGATCAAGCTAATGGGGGAGCACAGGTAAGGTACATAAAAGCAGTTTATGGTTCTCCTATGCAGAAAGCCTGTCACTTAGGATGTATTGTAAAAGTACAGGATTGATTGAAAATGTTAGCGTCAACATTTTAGAAAACAAGGCTATTTAGAGGACGCTTTACCCAAATGAAATTTGTGAAAACATCTGCAGATAATTAAATATTATATACACACTTTTTAATCAATTCTTAAAAGCATATGTATAAAGCAGTGAATATGGCATTCACCAAACAATCACTGCAGATAAATAAATTTACTTACTTTGTAAGTATATTTCCTTAGGTTTTATTCATAAGAGAGCATTTCCTTGGCAAAAATATGAATATGTTGATGTTTATCGTTGGGTCTGAACTTACATGCTTTTGTTTTCTTTATTAGTGGCCGTATCATTAAGAAACCAAAAAGTCACCGTTCCCGAAAACCAAGGCTTAGGACTCGTTACACTGTCGTCCAATGTTTCTATTCCTCCACTGACTCAAATGACTGTCTGTTTTGAAGCTACAAAAACTGAGAACAGTACAAAGAACTGGAAAGTGTTTTCTTACAAAAACTCTACAATGGATCTGCTAAGCTTTGGAAAAATTGAAAATAGCCATATGTTGTTTATTTTGGGTGTTCCTTGCCCTCTAAATCTATCCTCGCCTCAAAACGATGGTAAAGACTTCTTTACATCATCATTTCAACAGCTGTGCATGGTATGGAACAACAAGGCAGAACAGATATTTGTGAAGACCAAGGATGCATATTTCTCTAGTCTCTGCCCAGATGCAAGGGATCTGACAATCCCAGGTAGTGGGAATTTCATGTTAGGATCTTATACTTCTATATCAGGACCACTTCAAGGGGATGTTTACAACCTTCGTCTGTGGAATACTGCAATGGATTCACAAACACTTTCAAACCTGACCTGTGATCTAAAAGGGAATATTATAAACTGGGAGAACAGTTTTTGGAGCATCCCATCATGGGCAAGGAAAACAGAAAGCAAACTTAGCTGTGGTAAGTGGAGATTTACAAGTGTTTTTCTACAGTTTTTCAGCCTCTGGTATTGTTTATGCTATTGTTTACACATAAGAAAGTATGTCATGTGTTTTTTATTAACAACATATGCTGCAGTTGCAATGCAGGAAAGCGAACAGCATACCCGTGTGTATATTTTTATAAATATTTAAAGTGAGCATTACATAAAAAAAGTTATACCATTAAACAACACACATATAGGATCATAATTGTATAAGTACACTAAGGCCCATTCACATTTCTATTAAAAATCCCATTTGTTTCTACAACCGTTTTTTAACCCAGAGAAACCCCTCAAATAATTTTTAGGTCTCCAGGAACCCCTGCTTAACTTTGTTTTATCTACAGCTCATGGAACACTGGCATTACTGGTTGTTGGAAGTTGTAGATATCATAATAAATAAAAGTAGGGATGCTCCGATACCGGTATTTTGGTACCGAGTACGAGTACCGATAATCTTTTACGGTACTCGCCGATACCAATTACCGAGTAACAGAAGTCCCATTCAGTAAGCCAGGTGGCGTGTAATGACTCGCCACCTGGCTTCCCGATTAACAAGAAAGTCCCCTCTTACCTTAGTATGTGCAGCCTGTCACCCCCGGGGCCTCTCCAGCGAGAACGCGGCCTTCGTCCGGTACCCAGCCGGAGCCGTCTGGCCAGCCAATCAGGAAGCCGGGCGCCGTGTAATGACGCGACGCCCTGCTTTCTGATTGGCCGGGTGGCCGGCTCCATGCTCTCTTGTCATGAGATGATGAGGGAGCATGAAGCCAGCCTCCCGGCCAATCAGAAAGATAGCGCCCGGCTTCCTGATTGGACGGCACCCGGGGGCGACAGGCTGCACATACTAAGGTAAGGTAACCTTACCTCACGAGGCCAGCTTCCTGATTGGCCAGCTTCCCAACCAATCAGGAAGCCAGGCAGCGCGTCATTACACGCTGCCCGGCTTCCTGATTGGCCGGGAAGTCGGCTCCATGCTCTCTCATCACAAGTGACAAGAGAGCATGGAGCCACTTCCCGGTCAATACCGGAAGTACTCGTGCTAGGCATCGGAGCATTTTGGCGAGTACGAGTACTTGCCCAAATACTCGGAATTGGCTCGGAATTGGCACCGATATCGATACTAGTATCGGTATCGGTGCATCCCTAAATAAAAGTATAAAAAATGTGCCATGCCACCCAGGGTGGATAACTTTTTAAACTTTTATATGACATATGAAAAATTATTTTCAGTTATAATTGTGAAATTAAAGTAACAAATCTTAAAAATGCATTCAACCATATCTATTAACAGAAATTTACTTTATTTGTGTATCACCGAGCTGTAGATCCTCAAATCATCTCTGAATTCATGCTGATACTGTCCTTTCTTCTGGAGGGTGGCTACTTTTATTCCCCATGGTCCCTGTGTGTGTTATAAAGTAGCCACCGCTCCAAGCTCTCTCCTATGATGCACTACAATCTTAATACAAATTAGTAAACTAAAAGTGAGTTTGTAGTCCAATCACGGGACTTGGAGTAGTGGCTCCTGAGTTAAGTGTCCCTTTAAAATGAGAATACTAATATTTAGGGAAGCACCTATACCAATCCTGGTATCTAGATACTAGTAGTAATGGCACTGCCAGTGCGATCGGCAGTGGTGTGCGATTCTGTGACCCCCGCGGCCAACTGCATGATTGCCATGTGGTCACGGATCGCCCACTCTGCTCACACACACAATGCCCCATGCACGCAGATGGTGCAGATGGTGGGGGCAGGGGTGTTGGTTTTAATTTAAAAAAATATATATTTACATTTTTTATTACTTTGTAAAAATGTTTATTTTTAATTTCCATTTATTTTATTATTTTTTACTTTATCGCCTTTTTATTTTTTAAATTTGTATTGCCATTTTTAATTATTTGTTATTTTTTTACATTTTTATGTATTTACATTTTTAATTGTTATTTATTTTATAATTTTTTGACTTTTTTTTCACTTGACTTTACTGCTATCACACAGGAGCTAACAAGCCCCTGTGTGATAGCTTTTGGAGGTGACAGGTTCTCTTTATTGACCCCATTACCTCCAACACAGGAGTTCTAGCAGAGCACTGTGGTTGTTCTCCTGTGACAGGATGAGTACAGCATTTGTGTGTCACTGCTCACACGGAGCAGAGCAGAGCAGAACACGGACGTTCTCTGCTCTGCTCCCTGCTCTCCATCCTGATCTCGGGTCCCCCAGAAGAGCAGGGGACCCCAAAGACCATGGCAGAAAGAAATCCAGCAGGCAGGGAGAAAGGCAGCCGGGAACGATATTAGAGGGAGCGGCTGGGGACACGGCTGCCAGAGAGAGAGAGGGGAGGGGGAGAAGAGGGAGAATCAGGCTGATTACAAGTGATCTTGGATGGCTGTACTGACGTTGAAGCTCACCTGTACAAAATGGCTCCTACTTTACCTTTAACCTTGATGCCTGCCGAACCAGGGCTAAGGGCCGGTTCACACCACAAAGGCTGAGTTCCAGAACGGTCAACCTCTGGAACGCAAGCTGGCCGGCTCCCTGCGTTCAGGGGCGTGAGGGGGTGTGGCTGTGCATTTAAGTCAATGGCACTGCAGCCAATCCCCCCTCGACCGCAGTGCCATCACCAGCACCCGGAACCCAGGCACTGGCAGTATTTTTGCAGATCACACTGGACCGGAATGCAGGCATTAATGTGCCTGCGTTCCGGGTGCGGGTGATCTCACTCTCCCCCCCTGCGGCTGTCGCTCTCACCCCCCCCCTCTCCTCTCAGCGTCCGTCGGTCCATCCCACTCTTCCCCCCTCCCTTTTCTGAGAGGAGCGGAGTGAAAGAGTGAGAGACACAGACCAACCGATGTTGAGAGGAGGGAGGGAAGCATGAGAGAGACCAACTGACTAATGCTGAGAAGCTCTCAGCGTCAGTCGATCTGTCTCTCTTGTCTCTCTCACTTTTTCTCCCCCTCCCCCCAGTCTCTATCTCTCTATCACAACCCCGCCAATCCCCGGGGCCTCTGTCGGCTGGGAAACATGGGGGGGGGGGTGGGACCTGGCAAATGGTACTATTAATATAATTCTATAGGAAAAAATTATAGCTTGGAGTCCGGGGCCCCTTACAACAGTACTGGCCGTACCCCTCTGATGGCGGCCCTGCTTGTATGTACTAGTAAAGTTTGTGTGTCTGCACAAACAGACAGGCAGAGCAAGGCAGGCATTAAATGTCTGTCTTTACAAGCGTTAGACAACCAGCATGCCAGTAGGCAGAGAGACTTCTTCAGTAAAGCATGTGCACTTTCACAGGGAGGAGGGCAGGCACCTCAATGTCTGTGACCTCAAGGACGTGGATGGACCGCAGGTGCCAAAGGGCAAGCCAGACTTTGTAATTAACAGCCAAGTAAGCTGTCAATTACAGCCTATGGTACCAGCACTTCTGGGAGCCAGTGAAAAAATCTATACGCGTTAATCTACCTACACGTCCCACAGGTTTATAATATCTGTCTATTGATTTGTATGTGGAAAAAAAAAGAAAACAAAAAGGACAAAAGACCATCTATTTAAGCATGAGACAACTTTAAAAAATACTAGCAGTTTAAGTGTCATGATATGTTTATCTAACAGTGAAAAGTAAACCTGCAGTATATATACAAGGTTCCAAAAAAACAAACAAATATTTACTACATTGTTTTACACCTTGGCAGACTGAAGCACATTTTAAGCAATTTCCTGCATTAGCAGTCTTGCTGTATTTAAACTAATGAACATAATCTAGTGTAATGACATACATTACAATCCTGTCTGCTGTTAGAGAATTGGCTTGTTCCCTGACATTTTATTGAAAGCAAGTCAAATGATTTTATGCTACTGTGTTTGCTGTAGCTGATTTTTTTTAATACAATTTTTTGCTTTTCAATTGCTATAGATGACCCTGTTTTATTATAGTTAAGATCTCATAGAATGGTTTACATGTTTTATATATATTACAGTATTTACATCATCTAATAAACAGCAATTTACATGTGATGTTATTAATCATTTGGACATCATTAAAGTGAACCTGCAAAATATGTTAGCCACCATTGCTGACTTGCCTTTAAAGAGGCAGGTACTGGGGCTGGCATCTTAATCCTTTCTCTACCACCTAGAAGGCTTCTTACCTGGAAACATCATAGAGGATGAGAGATCAGACTTTTTAGACCTCATTGGCTGGCTATACACTTGCTCTGGTTACTGAATCACTAAGTGGCGAAGCCAGGATGACAGCCTCAGAGTCTGCGCCTAGAAGTAAACCTGTCAAAAACCAGTGACAACTCAAGCTGGGCATATGATGAAAAAATGCATAAGTTGAAGTTATCAAGTATCTATTAAGAATCTATTCACTAATAGAATATATTAGTATATATATTTACTCAGCACAACCTCTTTCATCAAAATGTGGGTAATATATTGTGTTTGTGTGCACTAAAACTACCTGTATATTTCAATGAAAATTTAGTGGTCTATTCACTAAGCTGCCGTAGGCAGCCGAGTGACTAACCGACCCGAAGCGAAGTGAGACGAACGCTGTTCGGCTATTCACTTCAGGCTGGTACGGCTGATTCCAGCCGTATATCAGCTGAAATCAGCCGTACACCGGGTGGCTTCGGCTGGCTTCGGGATGGCCGAACATGCTCAGCTAGCTCCACCCAACTGTTTTCTATTGGCCGGGCGGTTCTGCTGCCATCGGAATAATTAAAAAAAAAAACACCATAGGAATGCATAGCTAGATTCCTATTGGCTATTTCACTTTGCAATTGCCAATAGCAAACTAGCTATTGCACCTGCCCTCTGCTGTTGTCAATCACCAGAGGGGGACCTGATGGAGAACTGCAGGTCCCCCTCTGCTGATTGACAGCAGCAGTGGGCAGGTGCAATAGCTAGTTTGCTATTGGCTATTGCAAATTGAAATAGCCAATGGCTCCGATGTCAAAAAAAAAAAACGAGCAGGGAA